TTGATATTTGGAAACCTTCGTATACTTCTAACATTTCTAGGGCTAGATAGCATGTTTCATCTATCGATGATTGCACACGTAACTCTTCCTACTCTAAATTCGGAGTCGGTCATGCTATTCTCCAATTTTGCAATATGATCAAAATTCAGTTTGAGATAAAAATTAAATGTTTTACTGACAATGCTCACAATTTCTTTAACCAAACACTATCCTCATTTTCTGAAAGTGGAGGATTATTCATAAGTCTTCCTATGTCCAAACTGCATAACAAAAATGTGTGACAAGACGGAAAAACAATCACTTGGTCACTACTACATGCGTTTTCTTGTTCCAAAACCATGTGCGTAAACAATACTGGGGAGAGGTTATCTTGACTACCAACTATCTTATAAACATTTTACCATCTAGTGTTGGAATTCCAAAGTCCTATGGAAGTCCTACTACCTTCTTTCTTGACGTAAGAGTCACAAATAATCTTATTCCTAGAGTCTTTAAGTTTGTTGCCTATGTTCACATACATCAACCTCAAAGGAATATAAGTGTTGTCACTCCTCTACCCAAAACTTTTATGTACCCACTGATGTCACATTTATCGAGACCGAGCCTTTCTTCAATCAATTTTTTTTTTAAATAAGTTTTTTCAGTCAATCTTATCTTCAGAGAGAAACAGTATTGATAAATAATAAAAAAAAATTTATTCCCCCACTCTCAAGCACTACACCCTCTCAAACACTCAAAATATCATAGAACCTAAGTTCATAAAATGAACCTGAACCGATACCTCTACAAGACTCAAGACTTTCTCAGGGATACTTAAGAAGGAAAAACCTGGATCCTAATCTGAAAAAAGTTCAACATCTGAGTAGAATGCCAGAAATGAGGTAAATTTCAAAAACCTTTTACCTTCTAATATAGATATACCAATTGTACTTAAAAAAGGGATGAGGTAATGCACTAAGTATCCACCCTACCATATTTCAAACTTTGTATTATTTGGAAGGGTTCTCTAGCTCACACAAACTTTCTTATGAGTCCAAATGCAGTTCTAATTCCCAATACATTTTCTGAGGTTTTGTCATGTGAAGAATGGAAAAAATGTTATAGATATTAAAATGAAAACACAGAAAAAGAACTAGACATGGGAGTGGTAGACTTACCCAATAAAACGAGACCTGTAGAATGCAAGTGGATGTTTACTATACGTACAAAGTTGATGGAATTATAGAGAGATATAAGAAAGATTAGTGGCTAAAGCATATACCGAAACTTATGAAATAGACTAACAGGAGACCTTCGCACCTATTGCAAAAATGAATGCATTGCGTGTCCTATTATCCTTGATTACGAACTTTAATTGACAATTACAACAATTTCATATAAAGAATATCTTTCTGCATGGGGATCTTGAAGAAAAAATCGATGAAGAAATTCCCTCGGGATTTATCAAAGAAATAGGAGCAGATAAAGTATGTAGACTAAACAAGCACTTATAGGCCAAGCAATCCTCTTGAGCATGGCTTGAAAGGATTGCAAGAGTAATACTAGCAATGGAGTACAAGCAAAATCAAAGAGATACATCTTTTGTATCAAGCACTGAAACTCAGGGAATTACAACTCTCCTGGTATATGTTGATTATATATATTTGATAGGCAATGATGACAATAAGAGATCAATGCTCAAAATAATGTATAGCCAAAAGGTTTGAGATTAAAAAATTAGGGAAATGAAAATATTTCTTTGGTATAGAAGTGGCTCAACCAAAAGCTGGAATATTGTCAGAAGTATATCAATAATCTTTTGAAGGAAACAAGTAAGCTAGCGTGTAAATCTACTAACACTCTTATTGATCCCAACCATAAATTGGGATTGACAAAATAAGACACCAAAATCAACAAGATACACCAAAGACTAGTGCACAAAGTAATATACTTGTCATACACAAGATCAAATATTACAAATGTAGTGATTGTGATAGTCTATTCACACACAACCCAAATATTACAGGCTGCATATTGGGTGCTAAACTACTTGAAGGAGACACCAGAAAAAGGTATCATGTTTATTATAAAGAACAACAAGTTACTTCTTGAAGCATATACTGTTACAAATTATGTAGGATATGTAGGGCACAAAAGTTCCACTACTGATTATTATACTTTCCTTAGAGGAAACTAGTCATGTGTAGAAGTAAAAAGCAAAATGTGGTAGTAAGGTCTGGTGCAGAGCCAGAATTCCAGCTAATAACTCAATGAATATGTGAACTATTATAATTAAAAATGATTCTAGAATACCTAAAAATTAAATAGGATGGTCATATGAGACTCTACTATAATAATAAATCTGCAATCGGTATTGTCTACAATCCAATACAATATAATCAGATCAAGCATATTGAACATAATAGGCATTTCCTTTAAAAAAACTGGATAAAGTTCGATATGTACACTGTATATGCCCACCACCTCACAACTTGCGAATGTGTTGACTAAAAGATTAAGTAATCCAGAATTTCAGACAAATGTTGTTAAGTTGGGGAAGGAAGAATATCTATATACCAACTTGAGGAGGAGCACTAGGAAGTTCATAAATTAGTATAAAAGGTATATTAATAAAATACCTGCATATATGTTTTCTTTTATTGTTCTCAAGAATATGAATATAAAAGGCCCTAATACTCAATAATAAAAATAACATTCATGCTTCCACAGTTTATACATCCAAAAAATCCTAGAAAAATTAGAACCCAAGTTCTCAAATGTGTTTTTCTTGGGTATTCTGCTAAGCAGAAAGATAATAAATGTCATCACCCTCCCACTAAGACATACTTTATTATTATGCATGTAACCTTCTAGGAATTCCAACCATATTTTTCTCCCTTTCGTTATCTCTTCAGGGGAAAATTAGGGAAGAATAGTAGGTAATTCTCCTTCCTCAACGAGATTCTTTCCTAATACCTACTTCCATCCCAAATGAGAAGGATGACAATCCAAAGAATATTTATTGTGGCTAACTAGATAGGAATGTTGTAACGTTTCACAAACACAATACTATTGAGCATAGTTTCCTAGCAAACGCAAATATTGAATTCAATTCGTAAAGAGACACCTAGCGAGTTCAATGCTATTCATGATCCCCTTAACCCAGATTCTACTAGTATTGATCTGGATGTTCCTAAACATCCTTTATCTAACTGTCTCATATAATTCTCTATCATCTACCTATAGAGCTTTTATATCATCTTAAGGGAAGCTGTACGAGCAATAAAACCTTTACTGATTGATGACAAAGACAGTCTGCAATACAGACTTTATCATCACCTCAACATGATTTATAATTTTCACAATTATCTGAAGAGCCTATCATATGGTCAGAAAAACTTCAAAATCTATGCTCCACATATCATTTTTATTTTTAGATTGGCAAAAAATGACATACCTGACTTGACAAAGTTTGGAGGCTGCTGGCAAAGAGTAAGATTCAAGTTGGTATGAACTGTTTCAAGAATTGTACCTCTTCATTGGAAAAACTCCTAATATGAGAGAGTTCTCTTGAGTTGGTGCTTCAATAGTCTCAAATAAGTTGGCTTGTGGTTGTATGGCATTATTTTTCTTACCTCCATTACCTCTGTTTGGCTTGTGATTTAGCTTCCAACAACCCTCTCTGGTATGTTGCCATTTGCACAATAATCACAAGTAAGGTTATCTTTATCAGACATTCCTTAGTTACTGGTCTTTGGTTGTCCACAGTTGATGCTAGCAACTACCCTTGCCCTAACTATACTAGTTGGACCGATCATGGAGCTTCTATGACTCTCCGCCTGTTGAACATAAGAGTAGGCCTATCATAGTGATGATAATGGATTTGACCAAGAACCTGAACCTGAATTGGTCATAATCTATGTTAAGGCCAGAAGAAAATCATAAACTCATTCATTCTCAACTAATTTATGAAATTTGGACACAACCACTGGGTATGCTGCTTGAAAGTCTTAATAATAGTCTAATTCTTTCCATAAACCACTTAGTTCAGCAAAATATTGATCTATACCCATCTTACTTTGTCTGGTTGCACATACTTGATTTCGCAACTCATATATTTGTGCATTGTCACCAACCTAGGAGTATGTCTGGGATTCAAAGCTCCAAATTTTGTGGGCAGTATCAAGGAGCAACTACCCACAAGAAATTTGTGGCTGCATTGGGTTAATAAGCCAAAACATCACAAGTGAGTTGTCTGATTTCACACGATCGAGCACAGGGTCAGCATCCGCTGGTTGGGTTTTATTTCCTGTAACATGTCTTTGCAATCCCTAGGCTTGGATGAATAGTCAGCAAGACTGTGACCAAGCAAGGTAATTGGTTCCATCTAGCCTTACTGGGCAGATTTGTAGTGCCAAATTTTCTCCCATTATCCCAACATTGCTAGCACCAATGGCCAACATTCCCTCGCCAGATCTGTGTTCTGCCATCTTTTTTTTCTCTCTCTGTGTCCGCACACACCTTTGTGCTCTTTAAGCTCCACTGCATTGATAACAGACCTACGATGAGTCCTACTACTTGCGCACCTAAGGGAGAAAGAAAGTCGAGCAAAGTCTTAACCGAGTTCAAGAAAAAGCCCAAGGCCCGAGGAAGCTACCAAGGAAGCAGTTGGATTTTAGAAGGGGTCTGTTATTAAGAACGGGCCAGTCATGGGTTTAGTTTTGGTACCATTATGAAATTGATAGTGAAACCAGAGGAGAAGAAGATGTTTTCTTGATGTTCATATGATTATTTGTGCATATATATACTATTTACCCATACATCGAAACAACTATATATGGTAAGAAAAATAAAGGCACATGATCAAGGAATTTACATCTTAACAAAAAGGTATACCAAAACTAGATATTTCATAAATTTTATGGCAGTATATTCAGATCTAATGGCAGTAAATTCTGACTTTAATGGTAGATAGTCAACAAGATCGATAAGATAAAGATGAGCAACAAGTAACTAAGAACCTGGATGAACTGGAAGAATGTATGGACAAAGCCATACTTTTGGTGGCAATGGATTGTTTCCAGACCATTCATACACCCCAAGAACCTATCATAGTCAAAGATCAGTAAAATGTCAATAAGAGTTTGAGAAAGTTACCTTTTTACCCTGAGCAACAAAACAAAAGCTGATATTTATACCGAAAGCCACATTTTCCCCCATGAAGTAATTGCAGTTGCACTGCCATGATCAAAGATCCACCTTTGTGCCTTTTCCATTGTGCCTCGTCCACCATCAGCTCTTTCACCAAGCAATCTCAAGGTAACATAGTTTAGGACAGTACCAAACATGGTGCTTGGACCCTCAATATGCAGACCCCAACCCCCATCTGTATTCTGCAACCAAGTGAACAAGAGAACATAAACTTAAGCTTTTCTGATTTTGCTTCTTTATGACCAACCCAAGTAGTTAGATCATGCTTTACCCACGCCAGTGGTTCAATTTTCAGAACACAGAATGAATCTTCTTTCTGAAGAAACTAATTTTTTTCTTTGATAAAAGAAGAAGAATTATTAAGATAAGAGGAGAAAAATACAATTGAAGAAGGGTAAGATAATCTCCAAGTTATACAAACTAGAGTAAGCAAAAAGAATATAAAGAGACTAACACATAAAGAATGTGGGATTCTAATAGCCAAAAGCAATAATCTCCCAATTCTAATGGAGGTCTGATAAAGCTAAATTCAAGAATTTTCCATGCACCTTGACCCATAATGTTGCCAAAAAAGTCATAGTTCATATAATTATGATTACATTTTTATGTTTACAAAAGGAGTGGCAAAAAGAAAAGGAATCTTATGACACTAGGACATTCTCATTCCCTTGCTAGTTAACCTGCTAAAAGAAAATATTCTACTGAGAGATCATAAAAATTAGTATATAGGGAGACATCCAAATTCAAAAGACTGACAAAATAGACGCACTGAAATTAAAAGAAAAATGCTTGCCTGATGATTAAAGAGATATCTGCACATCTCACTTTGATGTTCTTTTGATAAGACAGTATCAAGAGCTCCTGTAATAGATAGAGTAATGACCTGTTGCAATTTATTAGAAGGACGAAGTCACATCAAGTCATGGCTCCAGACAAGACATACCTCTAACCATTATTTTATGAGAAAGAAGGGAACATTGATCACAGCTCCTACATCATAAGCGAAAAAGATAATGTTGATAATTTTAGCTAACAAGGCCAACATTAAATACACTCAAACACTTTATTCCTTCCATAGCTCTGACAAAAGAAGCATATAGCTTTCTCAGAAGATTTCAATTATCCACGTGGAGACATAATTGCATACTTGAGTAATATTATATTTGAAAATTAAGAGAATGTCTAAGCTTCAACCCTTACCAAGCCAGGAAGCAGAAACATTGGACCTCCATAATCCCCAGGCCAGTGACCATCGTGCGCCTGGATTGTGGCATAGAAATTGAGAGCTCTCCTTAAGGTACATGTCACTGACTCATCTGTAACATCTTCAAACTCGTTCACTTTCACTTGTGGTATATTCGACTCACATGGCTTCTCCTTTGCAAACTACATTCTCATGAAGGAAGTGACATAAAAGGTAGTAAACACAAGACTCTTCACTATGCAAACCAACAGAATGTCTAGTGCATTTGTTATCAGGAAATTAATTAATAAAAACCACCAAATTCTCCTGGATTAAGGTTATGTTTGGCCAAATGAACTTCATTTGGGAAGCTAATTTGTAAACATGGATAGAAATAAACACATGACTTTTCACTATGCAAACCAGAAGCAATAGAATCTCCATTGCATTTGTTACCAGGGGATTAGTCAATAACAATGAGCAACTTCTCCTAAATTAAGGCTATGTTTGGACACATGCACTTCATTTAGGAAGTTCACTTGAAAATATTGATAGAACATAAAAATGCATTATTTCATTTCAACTTGAAATTATCTAAGAGGTAAAATTATGTGTGTCAAGAGTTTAAGGAAGAAAAATAAAGTAGGGGTTTAAAAGTAAAGTAAAAAATTATAATAGATAAAAGGGTTTTCATTATGCTTTGTTTGAGAGTTAATCGTAGTAAATAAGGTAAAGAAAGTTTTTAATTCCCTCTTGTTTGGTTGAAGAGTAAAGTAACATAAAGATTTGCATATTATGACAAAAATATTCTTACGTATTAAAAAGATGCGTTAATTATGAAAAAAAGAAGGTAATTAAGTAAATTTACCAAAAATAACGAGCCACACAAATTATGAAAACCATCCCAGCCAAAAGTAAAGGTCCAATGCACCCTTGCTTTCCTCTTATTAACTCTGTTAAAAAACTATTAAATAGGACTATTATTAAAGCTTGTGTTACTTTATCCCCCTTTACTCTAATAATTCCACACAATTTGTAAAATAACATAATGGATTTGAGCCAGATCTTCTAAATATATTAGGAAATACATTTTTAGGAATATAAAACAAACAAGGGCCAATTTCGCTTGCTTAAAGATTTGGGTATAAAAACCTAAACATCACATATAGGGTTTCTTAAACATTAGATATAAGAAATCTTAAGCATCACACTTAAGGATTTGGTTGCATCACACAACTAGAAAATTAAAAAATTCTCGAAATGTTTTATTGAATAACTAAATAATGATGTAATCTTTTTACTTTTACATTAGTTCTGTCAAGGTCACGCTCTTAGTCCTCTTTTGGGAAATTTTTAAAATATGGAAATATTAAAGAAGAGAATGAACCATCAGTTATACATGGTACACTGTAATTCTTTCTTGACTATACTTATGTGCAACCTAGTAGTTAAAGCAGAGAAAGATCGAAAGCGTTCTCCATTTCAAACCCTAGCTTGTAGCGGAAATAAAGGTAAAAAGCTTCTTAATTACGAGATTTCTTGCAATAGGCCTTCTTTCAATCTCTACAATTGAGCGGCTCAATTTTTCAATATAATCACATTCCCAACTATACAACTATCTTCTAGGGGCAGTATAAGTATTTTTCTAATTCTACATTGTTTTGTTTCTACTCTCATGGTTCCCATAATTGATTCTTTCCTATTTGGTGTATTTCATAGAATGTCAACATATATTTTTCTAGGTTGACCTTAGCTGTATGATTAATATGGTAAACATGATGAGAGTCCCAACACTTACATCTTATGTTTGGTGGAAAGAATTTTGCTTTGAATATATATGACATACAACAAAACTTCATGTAAATCAACATCTACAAGGGCCTACGGTAAATGAAAAAGATAAAGAAATTGAGCCCGTTGGAGCAAGAAATAAGAAGAATATCATGCCTTCCTAGGACCATAGATTTTTAAAATCCTGAAAATCTTTCACCTAAAGAGAGTCCTATAAAAGTTAACTGCATGTATGAACCTCACCACTAGTTAATCCTATGGACATTTAGCTTAAGGATCATGATACAACAATTGCACAATTTTTTGATTTCATTTCAACTACAAGGTTTTATGCTCCTAACCAATTATTTGTCTCCACTGTTCTTGCTTCTAGTGAGGATGACCAAGCACGAGGTTTATTAAGACTTTTTATTGATATGAGGGTTTTATTTTTTTAAGAAATTAATTGATTTTACGATATAATTTATGTTTTCGATGGTATTAATATTTGTAGCAAAATCTAATCATACTTAAAAAAATTGATTATTAAGTATTATAAATATATTTGTAATTCACTTTGATACACAGTTATTCAAGAAAAGTAATTAACAATTTTCTCAACATTTTTATTTGTGTGATGCGAACAAACCATTAATTACAATATTTAAGAATTCTTAGATGAAATGTCTAAAATCCTAATATCTAAATTTATCCCAAATTCTTAACAATCAAGTTAATCCCTATTTGACTACATCAATCAATTTTCATCATTTTCATTTCATAATTAAAGAAATGGTGGATTTCCAACTAAAACTCCATGTATGAAGTAAA